AAGGCCATCTATCTATCTATCTATCTATCTATCTATCTATCTATCTATCTATCTATCTATCTATCTATCTAAGTTAATAATCCAAATGGAGAATCATCAAGGCGATTATATCATTAACTCAAGTCTCTACACACCATAACATCCATTAACGCCACTACAACAACAACAACAACAACAACAACAACCATTAAAAACAACCAATAAAAACAACCAATAAAAACAACCATCATCCCTCAGTGTTTATATTTATTAGTGTGTATTTCAGGCGACAGTTGGCGCCACTCAGTGTTTACATGATGACGTCATTTACCGCGAAAATTGGATGAGATAATAGGATGGATGTGAGAGAGAGAGAGAGAGAGAGAGAGAGAGAGAGAGAGAGAGAGAGAGAGAGAGAGAGAGAGAGAGAGAGAGAGAGTCAATGGAAAAGCAATAACACAACGGGGAAAAGAGAGAGAGAGAGAGAGAGAGAGAGAGAGAGAGAGAGCTAGACTGACATATCAAAAGAGAGAAAGAGAGAAGTAAGAAAACTCTACTTGAGGCACAGGAGGGAATTTCTCTCAACCAGGTATGAGGCGAGACACCCCAAGAGACCCCGTATACCGTTTTCTATGTCGCCTTTGAGGAACAGAAACCGTATTATCAAGTCAAAGTAGAGTCTCGGGGTAATTTAGAACCCATTTAAGTGTTTATCTTTATATGGTAGGTAAAGTGAGGTGCCTTTTAGAGGTGTCGGCCTCTCTAATTCTGATGTCTGTCTGTCTGTCTTTCCCTTGCCCAAATCTGCTTTCTCTCCAGCTAAGCGTCACTTTACTGGGATTAATGATTGAATTTTTTATACGTTCACATGAATATTTCAAGGGGACCGTACGGATACAGTGTGTCTGTGTGTGTTTCTGTGTGTGTGTGTGTGTGTCTGTGTGTGTGTCTGTGTGTCTGTGTGTGTGTGTGTCTGTGTATGTGTGTGTGTGTCTGTGTGTGTCTGTGTGTGTGTGTGTGTGTGTGTGTGTGTGTGTAAATTTCGTCTCCTACAATACAACATCAACATCTCCTACAACATCTTCACTACATCTCGACTATACACCCAAGATTAGTCTCCGTCCCTGAAGTTACAAATTATGATTAACTCTCACCGAAGAACCAGTTAAACACCTTATTACCTGACAGCCTCCGCTCACCTGCACGTTAATGAGGTGATTTAGTAGGCTAATTGGCACAGCTTCACATCCAGGTAAGGGAGTACAGGTGTCTTTATACTAACTCGAGATTAGTGTGTGTGTGTGTGTGTGTGTGTGTGTGTGTGTGTGTGTGTGTGTGTGTGTGTGAGTGAGTGTGTAATGATGATAATAATTAACGTCTTATTGAAAGAGCATGGCACCAAAAGGCTGAAAATATACAGTTACATAATTGGGGAATGGGTCACTTGATTGACAAATAATATACAAGAAACATAAGTGATACAAATATGATGATATATAACAACAAGGTGGGGAGAAGGTCATATTACAGGGCATTTCAACATAGTAACAGTGCAAACAAATAAGATTGACTGCGAGTGACTACACTGGTTGACTACGAGTTGTTGATAATTTTTACAATGGTTGGGACTGGGCTGTTCTTATAGCGATCAGTACGTGCTCCTATGGGCTGGATGCGGTTGTGGTGTGGAGCAAAAATTCGTGGACGAGGGATTTCAGGTGGAAGCAGGAGCCGGTGGCGAGAATGGTGCAGAAGCTTCTCACCAAATTTGCAGATAAGATCGTGGTGATGGTCAGAGAGAGCCGAGAGGGTCAGTGTGTTGAGCGCTTCTTGCTATGCGGTGTACCAGGGGGAGAGAATAATCTTGCATGCCCTATTTCTATGAGTTTACGTTGTGTGGCATTTAGGAAGGGAGACCAGGCATGGGAGGCATAGGTGAGCTTGGGAAGTATGAATATTGAGTAAGTACTGAAGAGCTCGGGAGTGGGAACTCCAAGGGACTTGAGTCGGCGGAGGAGGTGGAGATGAAAACTGTAGGATTTGACAATTGTACTGACGTGTGTTTTCCAATTTAGTTTTATTTAATTTGCCGATGAGCTTTGTGGAGTCCACAACCTGGAGTGTGTTGGAGCCGAAAGTAATGGAGGGAGGTGGGACAAGGTCAGAGGAGAGGCTGATGTGCATAATTATAGTGATATGGTTGTTGGTGGCCCAATTTTGGAGACTGTTCAATATATCCTGGAGGGCGGTATAGTCGGGAGCAGAGTTGTTCACCCTCATCCCAGCGATCAGAGGATTCTCTTAGGGCATCATTGATAAGCATAAGGAAGCAGAGTGGTCCCATCTTGGTGCCTTGGGGGATGCCACAGGTGAATGACTGAAAAGTGGAGACAGCCCCTCGGAAGCATACGGCTTGGCGTCGGTTACTGAGGAAGTTTGTAAGCCATGGTATAAGACTTCTCCGAAACCCGAGGAATAGCTTTGTTGATGATTAAATTGTGGTCAACTAGGTCGAACACCTTGTTGAAGTCAATCACAGCCACAGACGTCTTTAGTTTTTCCTGATGGCGGTATATGTAGTCGAGAAAGCTGATAAAACAGTGAGTGGTGGAGGAAGTTTTCATATTGTCAAATTGCTGAGGATCTATGACGCCTGCAATATCAGCATAGGCCCAGTCAAAAACGAAACTTTTGCAGAATAAGCTGGGTATTGGAGTGATGGCAATGGGTCGTAGCTCATTTAACCCTTGACTTGGGCACTGGTGACACATATGAGGTCTTCCAGTCAGCTGGGCATCTTGTTTGACTGAGAGTTTCATTGATAAGTCAATGGGGGTTGTGGAGCGCTTCAACTTCAGTTTGTTTAAACTTTCTGCTACTTCAAATTCTTCCACTAAGTCAGTGGGAAAGGGGGGCTGGTAAGTAAGCAGGGAGACTGGTTGTGTCACGCCGTGGGAGCGTCTGGCATAAAGTTGCGAAATTGTTGTTTGATTGCTTAGCTGCGTCACCATTAGTGAGATGGCTAAGGAAGGGAAGGGGGTGTGTCTTATTGTTTAGTCCACAGAGTTCTTTAATCGTAACATACCACTGACTGTTACTGGTCTGCTTCAGGTGTTGTAGATTGGTTGGGTAGTAAGACTTCTTTGCAGCGCGTATTTCACGGATGACTTGGTTGCGAAGGGACCTGTAACGGTTGGGGTCATTGAGATCAAAGGGACTGTCTCTCTGCTGCCTAAGTCATTTGATCCGAGATGTGAACAGGGCAAGTCAGCTGGGTGTAATCTGACGGACTTCTTGGGGAAGAAGTGGTGGTGGTGAGCTTCCGTGGTGCTGTTGGTGTAATTCATCCATTTGGTGTCCACGTCATCCACACTTAGTACTTCAGTCCAGGGATGGTGAACTATCCACTGCCCGAAGAGACGCAATGCAGAGTCAGTAATCTGCCTGTAGGCCTTGATGTAGGGCCTCTACACTTGGCTGGTAGTGGCAGCTGGAGATCAGTACACTGATAGGTGTGTGCTACACCCGATAGGAGACATTGGTCCAGGTGGTTGGTTCTGGTCCACTAAGTTAGCTAAGATAAGGTCAAGGGTATTTTGACCGTGTGTGGGGAAGTTCACAACTTGTGATGGTAGCAGCTGGTCCTCGATATCAGTGGTGTCAATTTCGTTATAATCCCCGCATAGTACTAGCTTGGCACATGACTACCTAACTCTGAGGTGGTAATGAGGCGATTGATAAGAGTGTCTCTGGTGGGTAAGCGAGGCTGGTGGTATGACACACAGTATATGATAGAGGCAGTGTGGCGAGGGTGGGCACGTGGCACAACACATACCCATAATGCCTCCACATCAGCTGGGACTAAAACATCCAGGCGTGACAGATGAAGTTTATCCTGACAGAAGAGGACAACGCCCCCCCCCCTCCACGTCCATGTGAACGAAGGTGATGAAAGAGTTGATATCCTTCAATGTGGCAAGTTTCAGGAACAATTTGCCACGGCTCGCAGATGGTAACGTCGTTGGCAGCAACTGACCGGACTGTGTTAGCGAGCTCATCAAATTTGTTGGCGAGGGAAGTGACGTTGAAGAGCAGTAAGGATGGGAGGTTAAACCACATTCGAGGCACTTCAGTGTAATGATGTGTTTAGTAATAATAATAATAATAATAATAATAATAATAATAATAATAATAATAATAATAATAATAATAATAATAAACGGTTTATTGAAAAAAGTTCAGCAGTCCAAAGGCTGAAAATATACATTGGACAGAAATGACTTATTATAACATACAAAGACATGGGGGTGGGTGGGTCCTTAAACAAAAGCTTCCATTACTAAAAGGAGAAGGAACATGAATTGAACATACAAATTATAGTTTACAGTTGATGGCTGGGGCTGGTCTCTTGTGTGTGTGTGTGTGTGTGTGTGTGTGTGTGTGTGTGTGTGTGTGCGTGTGTGTGCGCGCGCGCGCGGGGTTTGGTAAGGTTGTTTTGTGGATGGGTTTATTAACAACGATTTGTGTTGTGGGTTTAAGTGCGTCTATGTTTTGGTAGGACTACAGTATAGATTATGATAGTTTACAACGGGTTATAGTATAGAATTGATCGTTGTTTTGGTAAGATTACATTACGGACATGTGAATTAAGATCAGGTTTGTTAGTTAATACATATTGTAACTAAAGAGTTTTTTATGTTTGTTTGTCTTTGTGCTGTGTTTGTTGAATGTTTTTGTGCAATATAGCTTTGTTTTTGTTAATATTACATGTCTGATGGGAGCCTGACGACCAAACTGTACTTGTGTCCAGGTCAGGATACGAGAGGCCAGCTACCACGTATGTCAAATGTGGTTCCTAGCCTTAATAATTATGTTTTTGTTACTGTTGTTGTTTTTATGCACTTAAATAAAAACTTTATATGTTTTTTTATTTATCTTAATGTGAGAGGGTTGAGCCATATACACTTATAAGAATAGTGAAATAAATTTTTATTATAATCATCGCTAAACTATCTTCATTAACATCTTCACTACTGGACGCCATTTTAATATTTTATTTATTAACGCCAGACGGTTTATTCAGCAGAGAGAGAGACGCCTCGTACATAAGAATTTAAATAATTTGACATGATTACCTATGGAATAGAAAGTCATATCAACGGCAAATATTAAAGTTACCGCTAAAACAATAACCATTTTTCTCAAGTACTCAACTCCTCATTTTCTATGTTTTATGGTTTGTCTGATAGATGGCGCTAATGTCGGGGGCCTAAATTATAGTTTCTTATCTCTCTATATTTCTTCAGTTCCTTAATTTTCTCACCGAGGACTGCACTCAACAGGTGAAGGAGTCAGTGTCCAGCCTATTGTTGTAGTGAACATAAGTAACGTTTTCGTCTTATCTCTCGTTTTCCTTGTATTTGGTTGAACCTTTCATGTGAAAATACCGAGGATTGTCAAGCTACAACACACAGACAAGCCTTTATGTCTGATAAAATGAAAATAAAATTACACGAGAAGCCCACGAGAAGTAGATTCTCTTGCAGCCATCACCACTACCCTGCCTCCCTACGCCACCACCACTTCTACCATTTCAAGTGAATTCTCGCATTTCTCGGTACAGTATAAGGAAACAGGTCAGCTAGGGCTAGGAATGAATTGATCAGAGTGAGAGTATTCCCCAGGCTTCTTTAGTGACACATGAAAACATTACATTGAAGAGGAAAAAAAAAAGTGTGGTTGACAAAAGGCAAAGTTGGTAAAATATCGTGTTTACATTAGTGATTATACACTTACTGTACTGTGCAGACTCGTATAGTGGACCCGTATATAGCGAACGAGTGTCGATATTACGGAAAAAACAATTACGAAGAAAATGAAACCACAAAAACAACGTTCCACTAAACCTTCAGGTAAGAACAGAATATTGTATGCAAATTGACTTAGTATATCAAGGTATTACAAGTTTGTTGAGCACTAGAGCCACACCCGTAATGAACACAGTCACATTACCTTGTTAACCAGGAGACAATTGAGTGTATTGTGAAGTGTAATCAGAGTGTGAGAGTAGGGGGAGGGATGGGGGAGGGAGCTGCTAGGGGCTGCTGGGGGAGGAGCTGCTAGGGGAGAGCTGCTGGGGAGAGAGCTGCTAGGGGGGAACTGCTGGAGAGGGCTGCTAGGGAGGGGGGCTGCTATGGGGACTCTGATACGTGACCTTGTGTGTAGCTGGTGACCGGGGACTCAGCCTTCTGGTTCTGGTGATATTCCGGTTCCAGAAAAAAACTAAGCTTAGTGTATCACCTCATTATGTAGTGTGGAGGAAATTCCGGCTAATATTCGGCAAACACCGGCCAAACGAGGCTAAATCATCCGCCGGTGTTGGGTTATCAGTCTAAATCGCATGGTTGTGTTTGTGAAGTAATTATCCGCTTGATGAGTTCGGTTAGGTTGGGTTGGGTTGGGTTAGGTTAGGTTAGGTTGGGTTAGGTATGTTTTTAATCTCCACATTTTCCCTCTAATTTGAATCCATGGCGGTGACAGGAATGACAAGGCAGGACGGGTCATTATACACTCACCTACACTGTCATTATCACCATTGTATCCAACACGAAAAACAGCATTAGTGAGTGTTGTTGTTTTTGTCAGGTCTAAATCGTTTATTGTTGTTTACGGAAAAGTTACAGAATTTACAAACTATATGACGTGTGAAAAGTAGTTTTATATTTGTGTTCATAATTGCCTTAAAAATACACCATTAACTTTTTATTACCAAAACGTTAAAAAAATGTCCAGGAAGTTCCCAAATAAATTACTATAACTTTTTTATTTCTTAATTGGTTTAAAAATCTCAAAAAATATTAAAATCTACATAAGAATTTAGTAAAGTTTATTAAAAAAAGTTCTAAGGGGGTGGATAAATGGGTCTGTCTGTCTGTCTGTCTGTCTGTTTAATGATCTGTGTGTGTGTGTGTGTGTGTGTGTGTGTGTGTGTGTGCAAAAGACCAAACAGATTCGATAATGAAACAAATAAACCTTAGAAATTAACTCGCACTCGGCAAAACACAGATAACTACCTAATTACCTCGTTTTGGGTCATCAGGGGGTGAAGGGTATCAATTGATATTGGAGATTGGCAATTAGGTTTGTCTCCAAGTCATTATACCTTCATTTATTCAGGTCAATTACTTTTGTATTTTAAGTGGACTTGAGTTTTTTGGTGCTCTCTCTCTCTCTCTCTCTCTCTCTCTCTCTCACAGGAGGGGTCATCTAGTAGTGTGTGTGTGTGTGTGTGTGTCATTAGTTAACAAGGGCTACATGACCGAGCAATTCTTTTTTATGTAAACAATATGAAGACATTTTTTTTATCCTACATAAAAAAATACAGTTATTTGCCTGTCCAAAACTCTAGTCACGTCCAGGGAACGAATTACTCTCTCTCTCTCTCTCTCTCTCTCTCTCTCTCTCTCTCTCTCTCTCTCTCTCTCTCTCCTCCATCTCTTCCTATCCTCCCCTCCCACTTGC